AATATTCTATTGTATAAATATATATATATAGTATCTTTGAATATACAATGAAAATAATAAAGCAATAAACATTTCTTCAAGTTATTCTTCTTTTTATCTGTTTCCAACATAGTATTAGAGCCATAAGCTCTTGGTTCTTTTCTTTTATCATCGTTGTTTGGTTTTTGGAGTTGGATTTTCAAATCTATTACAGATATGAAACTTTGTCATTGGGATCTCTTCTTCTACAGATTGTATTGTTTATTCTCAATTTTTAGGCTCTTTTTTAGATATTTTGTTAGGTTGTTATTTTGATCTTGGCATCTTATTTCTTCATATTTTTAGAGTTTTGCAATATTGTGAGTTTGGAAAAGCCTATAACTCATCTTATTACTGCTATAGTTGCCAAAGAAGCAATAGACCAACCTAACGTCAACCTTGAATATCTAAAACAGGTGATATTAAATTTTTTTAATGCTCCTGCCTTATTTACTGCTTCAAGTACCAAACCTTGGTATTTCGATTCTGGTTATTATAACCATATGTCTTCAATTATTACTCATTTCTCTTTAATGTCACCAAATAATTCCTTTCTTGATATTTTTTCTGCTGATAGTTCTCCTATGAATGTTAATCACATTGGTAATATTTCTACAAAGTCATTGATTTTACCAAATGCTCTCTTAGTTCCAAAACTTAGTTATAATCTTCTATTTGTTGGTCAATTATGTGATCTTGGCCTTAAAGTAATATTTTCTGCTCATGGTTGTCATGTGCAGGACCCCCAGACAAAACTTCTTGGAACTGGTCACAAGGTAGGGCGTATGTTTGAGCTGAATTATTTGCATATTCCACATCATAAAATGGATACACCATCATTTCCAAATGATCACTTCATCCAAACCTTACTCTGTGCTATCGAATTAGAGTCTTTACAAATTCCATACCAGCAAATCTTGCAAGCCTATGCTGTTACTAACATTTCTCCTCTCTAGTTGTGGCACTCACGGCTCGGACATATCTCAGTCGGTAAACTTTGTTTACTTATCTCTTGTGGTTTATTAGGATATGTTCCAAATGAATCCTTGCATTGTGTGTCATGTCAATCTACAAAGCAACCAACTTTATCATTTTCGAATAGTCATTGTCTTTTTACTGCTCCTTCTGATCTCATACATTCTAATGTTTGGGGTCTATTTCCTACACCTACCATGGGGGGTTCTAGGTACTTTGTGCTATTTATTGAAGACCATGCTCATTTTACCTGGATATATCTTACAAAAAATCGCTTTGAGTTATTCCGAATTTATATTGATTTTACTACCATGGTCAAAACTCAGTTATCTAAAATTATCAAAGTTTTGAGAACTGATAATGCTATTGAATATCTTGATACTAAACTTCAATATTTTCTCAAAGAACATGGTACATTGACATAACAATCTTATCCTTACACTTCTAAATAAAATGGGCGAGCCGAACGCAAATACAGACACATCCTTGATTCTATTCATACTATACTCATTTCTTCTTCTTGTCCAGAGCAATTTTGGGGTGAAGCTACTCTTACAGCTGTTTATCTCATTAATCGCATTCCATCATCAGTCCTTAATAACCAATCTCCATACGAGCATTTACATGGTATTCTTCCTGTTTGTGATCTTCTTAAGGTTTTTGGTTATGCATGTTTTGTTCTTCTTCTGCCTCATGAACATAACAAGTCAGAGCTCAGAGCTCAATTATGCTATTTTTTGGGTTATGACATTACACAAAAAGGATATCATTGTTGGGATCTTGTGTCACAAAAACTTTGAGTTTCATGTCATATTGTAGTTTAGGTACACACTATGTTCTCATTGTTGTCAAACTTCAAAGTGTCATCCTTTCCTCAACCTCCATTTTTTACTAATCATTCTATTGAACTATTTCTTAGTGATTTTGATGCAGGTACATCTAATGAGGTCTACAATGGCTCACCACATGCTTCAACTAGTTCTGCAGAAGATGATCTACCTGCTGGTAATGCATTAGATAATTTTGAGCCTTCCTCTACTTCCTCATCTATATCACCTTTTAATGTTGCATTTGATATTGTTAAGTCTACAAATGAGCTTGTTGTCCCATCCTCGAGTTGTCCTACTCGAGTAAGAAACCTTCCTAACTACCTTCACAATTATCATTATTTTCCTACTATTACTTCTTTACATGAGCCTTAATTATATCGAGAGGCCTTTGCTAACCCTATTTGGCAACAAGCTATGCAAGATGAATTACATGCTCTTGAGAACACTTGTACGTGGGATTTAATTGATCTCCCTGTTAAAAAGTCTTTGATAGGCTGTAAATGGGTGTACAAGATCAAAACATGATCTGATGGTTTTGTGGAGCGTTATAAGGCATGCTTGGTCACCAAGGGTTTTACATAAGAGTATGGAATAGACTGTGAGGAAACATTTGCTCTAGTTGCTCGTCTCACATTTGTGCATAGTGTGCTTATTATCGCTACTATATCGAGATGGAAATTGTTTTAGATGGATGTGAAAAATGCTTTTCTTAATGGTGACCTAGAAGAAGAAGTTTATATAAAACCACCTCTTAGGTTCAACCATCCTCCAAACAAGGTATGCTGATTGCAATGTGCATTATACAAGTTGAAGCAATCCCCTTGAGCTTGGTATGCAAAGTTTAGTGCTATTGTGAGTGAGTTTGGTTTTACTTTGAGCTCACATGATATAGCTTTGTTCATTTGTAAGACTATTCGAGGTATGGTTCTTTCACTTCTTTATGTTGATGACATGATTACTACTAGAGATGATATCACAGGTGTTGAAGAGCTAAAACAATCTCTCAGTCAGAAATTTGAGATGAAAGATCTTAGTGTTCTGAGCTATTTTCTAAGGCTTGAAGCCACCTTTACATATGATGGCTACTTGCTTTCTCAAGTAAAGTATGCCTTCGATCTTATTTCTAAAGTTGAACTCAATGATAGCAAGAGTGTTTCTACACCTCTTGAACCTAATGTCAAGCTCACACCTATTGATGGCTCTCCACTTTCTAATCTTACTGACTATCGACAGTTGGTTGGTAGTCTGGTTTATCTTATCATGACACGCCCTGACATAGCATATGCAGTTCACATTGTTAGTTAGTTTATGGCTACTCCTCGTTCCATTCATTATGGTAGTATTTCACCTTATTCGCTATGTTAAGGGAACATTGTTTCATAGACTTGATTTTTCTGCTAACTCCTCCCCTGTGCTTTGTGCTTATTCTGATGCTGATTGAGCTAGTGATCCTTTTGATCACAAATCTACCACTGGTTACTGTCTTTTCGTTGGTAATTCTCTTATCTCTTGGCGGAGTAAGAAATAAACCATTCCATCTCGTTCTAGTGCTGAAGTTGGGTACAGAGCTCTTGGTGATACCACATCATAACTTCTTTTATTACAATGGTTTCTTGAAGATATAGGCATTCCTCAGCCTTCTTCTACTGATTTATATTGTGATAATCAAAGTGCTATATAGATTGCTCACAATGATGTCTTCCATGAATGCACAAAGTATATCGAGGTTGATTGTTGCTTTATTCATCATTATGTTGCAAAGGGAATTGTTTGTTTGATTTTCATTAGTTCTACTGATCAACCTGCTGATTTGTTTACCAAGGCTCACTTCTCTGGATGCTTTCAAACTCTTCTTTCCAAACTCAAGTTGGTTTCCTCACCACCACCTTGAGTTTGTGAGGAGATGTTAGAATATTAGTATTGATTTTGGAATATTATATTCACATTATAATTGATTATATATATTTAAGTTAATTGGTTTTATACCTCGAAATATTCTATTGTATAGTTTTATACCTAGAAATATTTTATTGTATAAATCTATATATAGAACCTTTATATATATAATGAAAACAAAAAAGCAATAAATCTTTCTTTAAATTATTCTTTTTCTTTTCTGTTTCCAACAATAACTTGAGGCATTTTTCCCTTGATCCAAATATAAGA